TCTGTCGAGTAGTTTCCGCAGCAGTAACAAAGCGATCTTGAAGATGCTGTCGCACAATCTGACGATCGTCGGATGGTGACCCTTGGTCTTCCACTACGTGGTCTGGTACCGTTGCTGGAGCCTGTATATGGTCCTTACGGGGACTTGAAATGCCATGTGGTAGCAATTCAATAACAAATGAATGTAATCCGATCTGGGTGGATTTTTATAGGGCAAGAAATGGAGGAGCGCATGTTGCATTTCAATTTTCACGGAACTCAGGTGCATCGGGTTACCATGGTCGTTGCCGTGATGCGTTTCGGAGATCAGTTTTATTGTCATCTGCTTTGTTTATTTATCATCAAATTTCGTTTTTCCGGACTAGGTAATGTTGAATTTTTGAAACTTTGACAAACATGACCCAGATATTTAAATGACAACTTTTCATGCAATGTTACTTGGCATGACGTTTCTTTTTGCGGTTCAGTATATATGGAAATGATATGGTTACAATGTCGGTTAGGATGGATACTATCTTAATGCGCGACTACCAGTAACACATAAGTAACTGTCTATTTCAGTGCTTCGTCTTTACGTTTTTGTCCCTCAATCATTCGTGAATATATATGGCCTGGCGAATACATAAACCTGGTTTCTGTGAGTACACAGATCAGTGAGCGCTGACTACGCCGCACACACGGAAATATTTCCCTCTTAACATCGTGTGTCACATGTGTATGTGTCATAGCCCTTTGGTGTCTTCTCTACCAGTGAGCGCTGACTTTACACCACTCACATGGCAATATTTCCGTCTTTACATCGTGTGTAACATGCGTATGTGTCATAGCCCTGTGGTGTCTTCTCTACCAGTGAGCGCTGACTTTACACCACTCACATGGCAATATTTCCGTCTTTACATCGTGTGTAACATGCGTATGTGTCATAGCCCTGTGGTGTCTTCTCTACCAGTGAGCGCTGACTTTACACCGCACACACGGCAATATTTCCCTCTTTACATCGTGTGTCACATGCGTATGTGTCATAGCCCTTTGGTGTCTTCTGTACCAGTGAGCGCTGACTTTACACCACTCACATGGCAATATTTCCGTCTTTACATCGTGTGTAACATGCGTATGTGTCATAGCCCTGTGGTGTCTTCTCTACCAGTGAGCGCTGACTTTACACCGCACACACGGCAATATTTCCGTCTTTACATCCTGTGTCACATGCGTATGTGTCATAGCCTTTTGGTGTCTTCTCTACCGGTGAGCGCTCCCTTTACACCGCACACACGGCAATATTTCCCTCTTTACGTCGTGTGTAACATGCGTACGTGTCATAGCCCTGTGGTGTCTTCTCTACCTGAGTAGCTACAGGAACGGGTTGATTTGCTCAAATTGTCATTTTTTTCAAAGTATTCATGGACCATTTCAAAACTATGTAACACACGTATTACGTCCAGGTTGTTTGAACGGCGAATACATGTGGGGGATTCATGGGATTTGTTCATGGGGTTCACGGGATTTATATAGTAAGGTTAAATTACTGAAATACAATGACAAGCATGTAATGTAACAATCATACTAATACATTATTAAATTTTGCGTTTGTGGTATGTACCACGAGCGTCACTTTATCTAAGCATATAGTACACAGTACAATCATCCAGTAAGTCGTAAGGGCAGAACACAATTAAAGTCTTACCTGAGTTTAGACATGCCTATCAAATGATAACTTTGATTAACTACATATATCTATAAATATGACTTTGCCAGACATTGCTCTGGGGAATAACTTTAATGTATTCCATCTTGCACTTCCAAGTGCTTTAACAAAGATGTATATCTTCGCTTTATTAGATATATTTGCGTAGATGGATTATAAATATCAAAATTAGGACAGTGGTAATATTTCTGAGACGCCTCTTGAGAAAAGGATAGGCTACTTGGGAATGCCCACGGGGTTTGAGTGAGTGAGTGAGAATGGTTGTACGCCGCATTTAGCAATATCACGGCAGAGGACACCAGAAATGAGCTTCCCACAGTGTACCCATGTGGGGAATCGAACCCGGGCCTTCGGCGTGACGAGCGAACGCTTTAACCACTAGGCTACCCCACCCCATATTGTTGGCATATATTTAGAAATACGTCTATATATCTTTAGACATGATGGATATGTTATTACTTCATATTTTGTGGTTATTTATTCATATAAAATGTGTTTACTAGTTATCAAGGCTGTTCATGTCATTTCAAGCAGTGTCAAATTTTCTACACTCAATTGTGTATGTCTGATCCTGAGAAATTCTTTGCTGAAATTAATAAAATTCGAAAACCACCCTCGTCGTGTCAGTTTTCTTCATCTAATTTTAATATCTCATTGAAAAGTAATAGTTTGCAAATAAAATAAACAACTTTGAAATAATGAGTTCAATGGCTTGCCAAATTTTCTTTAGTATGTACAGAATACATTGTGATCTATATCAGAGTGGTTCAATGGTCGTACAACCGAACTAAGCAAGAGTGGAAACTGGACTTTTATACTCAGTTAACGCCCTTGCCTCGGGAAGATGGGTTATTCCCTGACTCTGACGTCTGATATTTAATGCCACAGTCAACGAACGAAAGGCCACCTACATGACGACTGCTTATGAATAATCAAGACTGGGCCAGACAAGTTGTGCTAATTCTATTGGCCGACAACTATTAATAAAACACACACACACACACACACACACACACACACACACAAAGAGAACTGAAACACCTTCGACATGGCCATTCGTGTTCCCTACGTTTGTCGGAACGTAAGGTTAGACGTTGGAGTGAAAGAGTTGGGTGTAACGCCACTTTGAATAGTACTTCAGTTATACCACAACCAGTCAGCTTAATGTGTGAGAAAAACACCAATTCTACCATGAAGTTGGTAAATTTTGATTGATCAGAGGTATCAAATCACAACCTCTGATTGAAACAGCCGATTTGACGGCCGCATCACCGCGGAAGCTAATATTTTTAGATTAGTACTTCTTTTACAGTCATTGTCGGGAGGCATATTTAAATAATAATATGTACAATTATTTGCTACAAAATGCAAAGTTGCGATTACTAGATATTCAATGGATGTGTGGCAATATTTTCATGCAGAAAACACGATAGAAATCTGCAAAAAAAGAGAATGTATTTTAACAGAGAGCTTGCTATTTGGCGCTGTTCTTTGTAGTATTGTCAGGTCATATCTTGTACGTCACAATGAACGCAATGTCGTCACAATTGTGACGTGCAGTGTAGAACGAATCTTTGCAAGGCTTGCTCAGTTTTCTTTAGGGGTGCCCACCTCGAACTATCATTAGTAGTTGCCGTGGTGCCAGTACCTGTCAAAAGTTCGTGTGAAGTATTACGGTGTTTGTAGTTTAACGCCGAACGCAGCAATATTCCAGCTATATGATGGCGGTCTGTAAATAATCGAGTCTGGACCAGACAATCCAGTGATTGACATCATGACATCCACGCATTTGGGATCGATGACATACATCAACCAAGTCAGCGAGTCTGACCACCCGATCCCGTGGCGTTAATCGCCTCTTACGGCAAGCATAGTCGCCTTTTACGGCATGTATGGGTTGCTGAAGACCTATTCTACCCCGGAGCTTCACGGGTAAACAAAACTGTTGTCGGTGATCCCGTAAATTCTGATCGACAACCCACTCGAAACACTGGATTCAACCCATGCCGCTTCACTCGATATATTTTCCTAACACCAAAGAATTCGCGTTTTATTTAATCATGGCAGAATGGAGATAAACATACTGTGTTTCCGATGTAGAGATTTCCGTTCCAAATTCAATGTAGCGCGGTTGAATCTACAGGTAACCTTGCTCTACATTGAAAACACAATATCTCCTAAATGACGGCGATTGTAGACGTTTGCTGCTATGGTGATACCCACTAGCAGGGTGCTGGCAACCAAGGAATTGTAATCTGGCAGTCGAACACACGAGCATACGATTCTCACTGGTATATTGGGCGCAACTATGCACAGCACAATGCGGCTCCTTACACGGCTGGGCTTCCATAGTCGAATCTCCCGGAAGCTTCTTCTGCACCAAATCAGAATTAATCGTTCGACAAACAGTTTTCGTGGCCTTCAGTGCAGATTGAATCTTCTGGCTGCCACCTGTGATTGGATGACTTTGTGTAAGTTGTTTTAAATGTACATCCATCCAGTAACTAAAGCTGACCATGTTTTCTTGATTTGGTGGTGTCTTTCTTAACACGATCCCTTGTGCTGAATGTGACCACATATTTTCAAGCAAGTGGCATTTGGTGCGGAACTGGGGGTGGTGTGTTTAGCTTCCTGTTCTAGGAAAAGGAACTGGCTAAGATAGTCATTTTTTGTTGTTGTTGCGTTCATTGCTAATGTAACGCAAGACTGTGCACACATGTACATGGAATAGCTCTTGAATGCATGCTATTTTTATATAACATAATGTTACTACAAAAGACTATAGGAAAACAGTTGGTTGTGTGTGTTTTGTTTGTTTGTTTGTTGTTTAACGCCAGCTATATATGACGGCGGCTTCTAAATTATCGAATCTGGACCAGACAATCCAGTGATTGACATCATGAACATCGATCCACGCAATTGGGATATGATGGCATGTATCAACCAAGTCACCGAGCCTGACCACCCGATCCAGTTCGTCGCCTCTTACGACAAGCAGAGTCGCTTTTTACAGCAAGCGTGGGTTGCTGAAGACCTATTCTACCCCGGATCTTCACGGATAGGTTGTGTGTTATCTCAAGTTTTAGGACACTTACTTCCGAAATGGCAGCTTTTGTTTTCTGTTTCATGTTTGGTGGATAGTGAGGAAAGTATTGCAAATCTCCTTTGTTAAGGGACCAAAGGTGGCCCAGTGGTCCATGACGCCAGAACTATTGCTGTGCAGCTTCACAACACGCCTGTGCACACGTCTGTGTTTAGGTAGAAGATGCCGTGTATAATATAGTGAAGCACAATACTGATGATTCTCAGGCACTTTATTTCAACTTGTCCCTGTTACACCCTTCCCTCCCTCAACCACAGAAACCTTCACCCATTTACAGTTGGATGGTCGGTTTGTTGTTTAACGCCGCACTCAGCAATATTCCAGCTATATGGCGGTGGTCTGTAAATAATCGAGTCTGGACCAGACAATCTAGTGGTTGACATCATGAGCATCGATCCACGCAATTGGGATATGATGGCATGCATCAACCAAGTCAGAGAGCCTGACCACCAGATCCCGTTCGTCGCCTCTTACGACAAGCATAGTCGCCTTTTACGGCTAGCATGGGTTGCTGAAGACCTATTCTACCCGGATCTTCAAGGGTCACAGAATGAACAGATAAGACATTAACGCGACAGCAACTTATTGAACTGTGCATTTATGTAACATTTTATATCAAATCAATATTAAATGAAGTTGCACATGCTTCATTTCCATGGCAATATCGAAAACTATTTTACGGCAACATATCCGATCAATCAGTCACAATAAGACCCCACCTGGGATCCCAGTCCCTATCAAAAGTGGAGTGGTATATACCTTAAGCATTAATATTACACTACATAGTCACTTAACACGATTACTAGTAAACAAATACCTGACTCAAAGCAAGCACATATTCTGCAACCAGCGTGCAGACTGGAGCGTTTACAATAATATCATCATGTTTTACAGTTGTATGAAAGAGCATGTTATAATATAATGATCTTCCAAGAGCAATTATACCTGCACTATATGTAATACTGTCCAAGCGTCACGATTATTGTCTTGTAGTTGATCTTAACAGAAACTCCACCGACTTTATCATGATGCAGAAAATGAGAAAACTTTCAGACTCAAAGATAGGAACCATAACAACACTTAACTATTTGCTGACAAACAGTCAATTTGTATGTACATTCTGCAGTTGTTTAATTTGTCAGCTACCATCATTGGAGACTCAGTGCGAACTGTTTGTATTGAAACGTGAGAAATCAAAATATTGAAAATAATCAAAAGGCGCCAATTCAGGTGATGATAATGCATACACATAAATTATAGCCAGGAAAGATTATGGCTTCACACAGAAATATTTATAAGCTTTTGAGTTTTGGCAGGAAACAAATGCTGCATGTTGCAGACTCAGTCGAAATTGTTTCCATGGAAACACAAGATATTAAAAAAATAATTGAAAAATATGAAAAGACAATAGTTGTACATATGGTCATTGCATATGTGTATGTGTTTCATGCCAAAATATTCATCAGTGTGAACGATTTTAAAGTTATGGGATAGAATAGGATTCCAAAGCCAAAAACAATAGGTCTCTCCTCCCTTTGGGGGGCAAAAAAGTAGTCCCCCAAGTATCGGCACATATACAACTTGGTTTCTAAAGTGGTACATCATAGTAGTCTTCTGTCTCTGAATACAACTGCGAAATGTCTAAAAGCACAGCCAAATTCCAGTTGTGGTAACTGTTCATCTCTCAGCCATTTAACAGGCATATATCCTTTCCTTGTCGTTGACAGGTGTGTCGCACACCCGGCAGCATGTCAACGTGTCGGAGCAGTCGCTGCAGGCCATGATGTGGTTGCAGGGCAGGAAGAGGACGTTGCTCTCTCTCAAGTGACACACCATGCACCGACGCTGAAGCTTCAACTTGCGATTCATCTGGACCAGCTGCTCCTTGGTGTCTGTTGACCGAATGAAGGAATGAGTGAGTTTGGCTTAACGCCGCTTTGAACAGTATTTCAGTGATATTAGTTTGATGGGGAAGGAAAAGGCGAAGTGACGCCACAGCACATGTATGGTGCTGACAAACCTAGAAAGATCATCTGACATTCGTCCCACGATGTTTCCTCGCATAAGGGAGGTAACTCTGCACAGCGCCTTAGACTAACTTAGACCAACTGTGTAAACGCTGCTGAGCATGATGTTGATACATACTGGTACACACGTGACCTGCGTTGTAACCCCATAAGTATGAATGATTGGCAGGTAGGTTTTAAGGATTGATGGGCGTGCCATACATGCATCGCCCTGTTGATATCTTTAATGTTATTTGACTGAATGGATGCAGCTACGTCGTATTCAAGCAAGTAAGCAGTGACAGAAGCACTCGTTTAACGTCAATCCGCAACTACAAATTACTCGAGCTTAAACAACGATAATCCTATTGATGTTCCGTCCAGTAATATAGTAGCATGTTGATTGTAAATGCTGTAAAAATGTAAAGAGACAGTGAATGTTTATATCCAAAGTCAAGTGAAAGCATACCTTTAAATCGACGTATTTGTCGAATTATATTACATCTCTTGCCACATGTTATCATCCTCGTCACACAGGGCTTTGTTCAAGGTAGACTTAAATAGACCCTTGGGGAAAATAGCCGGTCATATTAATCTTTCGAAACTCTCTACTTATAAGACGTCCCGGATGCCGTGTAAGACCATGTAGCAGACTCACTGTGTGGTTGGTTATCAAGTGATAAAATAAGTCGGGTTTGAGGCAGCTTTGAACTGTGTTTCCGTTATATCACGGCAAGTCTGTCTAGTATGTGAGGAAAGCTCTGAATGACTTAGATCATCTACCTTGACAACTTTGGATAAACACAAAGATAACAATTAAATCGGGGCGAATCTGCGACTCGAACCACCCAATCGCGGACCCTGGTTCGCCCTAGGACACAACTCTGCACTGCAATTTGTGCGTACTTAATCCACTAGACTACGTATGTCCCGAACTCTCAAAGACATAACCTTGCATGAACAGCTCCATAGTGACCTTTTGAGTGAATATGTGAAACTCGATGGAACGTTTTGTCGTGGATTTCACAGACTACCAGCTTCAAATGCTTACAAACGCTTGCTGACAAATACGAAGGCTACTCTCCATTGGTAAACCATTGAAATGTCATATTGAATCTTTTAACTGGTAGAACAATCACTTTGGATATTACCAATATGATTCGTTTTGGATCGTCAGATCTTGTAGCGCCCCCGATAGGAACGTTACCATGACATTTGTGTCGGCATCATAAAGGCAACTATGCTGAATGAAGTCCTGGATTTCAAGGATACACGGTTTCCTAGTCTTCGTACTTACCAGCATCATCAACCTCCTTCAAATAAGTTGATATGTCCGAGTCATGATCTGTTGAGAAATGAGACCAAAAGAGTATCAATGTGACTTTGTAGCTACTGTTAACGACTTGGACAATCAACAAGGCAAGGCACGGAAGCATACGAGATGCTCTGATAAATGTCCCTGATCTTGTAACTGTAACCCACGGGGACCAAGAGGTGAGTGGAGTTGGTGATGAGTATTATATACATCATGTATAAGATAAAACATATTCATGAGAAGTCGCATGACTTCAAGGTAACGTGAGTATTGCTGATACTGTACACGTTACACAGCAGTACAAACTAACAGTTTTAGTCCACTGGTCCTTCTAATAACGTAGCAAAACCATCAAAAATGGCAAGTTTCTACTATGACCTTAAGTATTTGGCAGTTTGGCAAGGACTACACGAGTACTGCCTATTTCTAGCGCTGACTTCACATTCACACTTACCCTTTTTCGAAATAATGTCTCTTTCAATGACTGTATTACACACTGGACATTTTAAAAAGCCTCCCACGTTGTAACACACTTGGCAGCTGACCACGTGGCCACAAGGCAGGAATACCACGTCCCGCTCGTCCTGGAAACACACCACACACACAAACTGGGCCGTCAGGTCTCTGTTCTCCTTCATCAGTGTGATGAGATCTGGAAGGACAATACACCACTTAACCAGGAACCTAGCTCTGTCGACATCTCTCCAACAGTAGATGTCATCAATCCCCAATACTGGAAGCTGGGTTTCTATGGCACTCTTTTTCATCTATCATTGGGGGGGGGGGGTTAACTATGAATTAGAACTTCAATATGAGTAAAAGTTCACTACACATAAGATAAATATTCTCAGTCATTAATCAACTTTCACAACACAAATTATTGATGTTTACTTTCTTAATGGACCCGTCATGATCCGGGGTAGAAGTGGTCTTCAGCAACCCATGCTTGTCTTAAGTGGCGACTGTGCTTGTCGTAATAGACGACTAACGGAATCAGGTGGTCAGGCTCGCTGACTTGGTTGATGCATGTCATCATATCCCAATTGCGTAGATCGATGCTCGGGATGCCAATCACTGGTTTGTTTGGACCAGACTCGATTATTTACAGATCGCCGTCATTTAGCTGAAATATTGCTGAGTGCGGCGTTAAAAAGACAAACAAACAAAGAACAATGATCAACCGAGCTCTGTCATGGAGTACGTCCGTCACATGTGGCGTGTTATACGAGGTAATCTGCGGGTGCCCCCGTCACTAAATGTACGTACGTATGTTTGAGCCACTGTTGTTAAAGCTAGAGCACTCGGAGTCCTTTTCAGTGCTATCGCGAGGCCTCTATCTATCTTAGAGCACAGCCAAATACTCGAGGCACATGAAAAGAACATACATGTAAATAGTCATAAGTTTGAGCAACCGGCGCCCTGAAAGCCGAAACTCCAAGGGACATTCACCACTGGACCAGAGCCATTTAGTTCATTTCAACATCATTTTACCTTTAACGTCTGACAACAATACGTTCCTTAACTGTATTAATGAATAAAAACCAGAGAGTTTCAAACAGTGAACTATGAAAAGGCAGTGTGACAACCTTAAAGCAAGTGAGTGAGTGAGTATGGTTTTACGCCGCTTTTAGGAATATTCCAGCAATATCACGGCGGGGGACACCAGAAATGGGCTTCACACATTGTACCCATGTCTGGAGTCGAACCCGAGTCTTCGTCGTGACGAGCGAACGCTTTAACCCGACCGCCCCCTTAAAGCAAGTACCCAGGGCAGCATTTCGTCATTCGTTTGGGTATTAATACAATTTACAAGTGAGCGAGTGAGTGCGTATAGTTTTATGCCACTTTTAACAATATTCCAGCAATATAACGGCGGGGGGACACCAGAAAAATGAGCTTCACACATTGTAACCTATGTGGGGTATCGAACCGGGGCCGTTAGCGTGACGAGCGAACGCTTTAACTACTAGGCTACCCTGCCGCCCTGCATTTGCAACAATCATTGGTTGTGTGTTTCTTTACGGCCGCACTATTCCAAGCAATATCCCAGATACATGACGGACTGTAAATAATCGAGCCAGGAGCAGACAAACCAGTGCTTAATATTATGAGCAGCGTTCCATGCCGTCGGGGTACAATGACAAAGGGATCTGGCCATCGGAACTAAGCCATTTATAACCTAACCCATGAGATATTCATGCGAATTTTACGACGAAAGGGTGAGATCCCCTCAGCCGTTTTAGCAAGCCAAAGTGTTCCAAATTCATGCAATATATAAAAAGAGTGAGTGAGTGAGTATGGTTTTACGCCGCTTTTAGCAATATTCAAGCAATATCGCGGCGGGGGACACCAGATATGGGCTTCACACATTGTACCCATGTCGGGAATCGAACCCGGGTCTTCGGCTTTAACCACAAGACTACCCGACAGCCCCTTACGAAAAGAAAGAGTTACCAAATGCTTGTGCAGAGGAATAAAGTAATATCAATGGTTTAACTGTACCTTTTTCTTGACTCTCATCTGCAACATTAAGCGGACATATATAAAAAACGTGTTTAAGCCGCATTTAGGCCTCAGTTTACTCAAATACATTATATTGACTCCGAAACGATCAGTCTTTGTCTTATACCCTTATGCTTAACGCTAGGCAGGGTAACAAGTACCATCTTTGAGGTCTTTTGGATTGACGTGGCGATGGGATCAAACCACCGACCTTCCTTTCTCCAAGCAGACACTCTATCCACGAGACCACGGAGGCGGTGTACATAATAGAAGATCGGATAAACTGTGTTTTTCACAGAATAAATAGAAATACCTGTGCACTTGTAAGGATGAGAGAATATGCACAATCAATATTAGACAGCCAGATTACGAACATATACACAATCAAAACTAAATATTTTGCGTGTTACTGAGTAAGGGAGTTTGTTACAGCGGTGCTTTGAACAGAATTTATGTTATTTCACGATGTGTCAGAATATAAAAGTGGAAAGCATCGTGTGACGCGGATCCTAGACATATTATTTTTTGGTGAGCAGCAGTATATCAGAAACCAAATATCATGACCAGGGCGACCTTAGGAATCAGGCCGACCCACGATCATCGGATTCTGGCATTGTTAAGGGAAGCAACTCCACACCGTCAACTGGGTCATCCATACTGTTAAAGCACGATGTGTCAACTTAATGTTGGAGGAAAGCCCTTAGTGATGCAGATCCCAGAGGATTGCCTCTTTTGTTTAACAACTGAGTTCGGATATCAAGCTGACAAACCAAGAGTTACAATCAGTATGAATGTGGGACTCGCGCCAACAATCATAAGCGTGTGGCGCGTGTATGGAATGCAACTCGTCCGTGTGGGACATGAGAGTCCCCAGTTACTCTTGAAATGACTATATAGACGGAATGATAATGTCAATACCAATAGTGAGATCTGCTTTCATCAGCTTCTTTACAGCATCCCGAAGCTCACTAGCACCTTCTCCCGGAGTTTTCCTGTGGATATCCATACTGTTAGTGACTATAGTGTAGATATCAAGAGGCAGGGTTAGAGCAGACAAGACAGCGCCCCCTATCTTTGCAGCCAGGAACCCTGTCTTCAAAACACTAGCTACGGTTCTGGTGGTCGCAGAAATGACTCCTCTCGCAGCAATGGCCGAGACAACAGCTGCTAGTCTCATCGCTCCGCCGCCTATTCCAGCCACACCCAACGCCGTCAGTTTGGCGACCTCTGTTGTATTAACACCAGTTTTAAAGTCCATGTTCTTAAGGACTTTCTGCAGCAGCTCCTTGTCATCATTCAAAACTTTAGTTATTTGCAATAGCATGTTGGTTGTCTCTGTGTAATCCTCTCTGGCAGCACTGGCATCCTTGAAAGCGTTACTCTGAATGATTCTACCCACGACGGTGGTGCCCACAGCCCCTACAGCGCTGGTGATCCCCAGCGCCACACCCCCGACAGTTAAACCCAGTGATGCTCCGAAGGTGAACGGTGCCGCAATGAGACCGGCAACTGTGAGACCAGTGGCTACGATCCCAGTTGAAGCAAACGTCAAATTGGCAATTCTGGTGTTGAAGGAATGTTTATCGAGTTCATCAGCCAAGGCGGACAGAGTGCTGATGACACGTTTCTTCTCCTTAGCTTCCTTCTTTATGAGTGAGATCAGTACCTCGGACAAGGCTTCTGCATCACTCGTAGAAGGCATCTGGAATCATACAGATAGTAATTCGTTACAGGATTATATGGTCATTTTTCTATTGGTTTTTGTTTGATAATTAGAGTTTTATATAGCTCTCCTACGGGTGCCAATAGTCCCATCCTTAATTCGTACAGCATCGTTAGCACGTTCATTTACCCGTGGGGATTCAGGGTAAGAATAAACTCCCCAGCAATTTTAGCTGGTCGTAAGAGGCGACTAAACTGATCGGGAGGTCCGGCTCACTGACTTGGTTGATTGCATGTCATCGTATCCCCATTTTGCGGATCGATTATTTACAGACCGTCATGTAGCTTGAATATTCCTGACTACAGCGTTCAACAACCAACAACCAACAACCAAATTATAATTTGACATTGAACAAACCTACTCTTCCAGACGGTGCAACATGTATTTTCATAGCTGCTGTTTTCTGGGTAAAAGCAATGATTAAAGAATGTGGTCAGTTATGAAAATGGTTTCACAGTTGTCATGAAAACAGGTCATTCGAGGTCATAAATCTAAACTGAAGCGGACAGTTTCATAATAACTGGTTATCAGATGTGTTATTATTTTGTACACGCTAATCAGATTATCGATAGTCAACTCCAATGTCAATAAATGTAATATTACGGCAATACAACAGCCGCCTGTAGATGATCGAGTCTGGGCCTGACAATACAGTGACTGATTCCATGAACAACGTTCCACGGGTACGATGGCATACAATCAACCAAGTCACCGACCCTGACCACCCAATCCCCTTTCTGACGATCAGCAAACGTTGTTGGCTGTTTCAACCAGGCATCCACACGGGGGTAGATGTGAGTGAGTAATTATGACTTTACGCAGCTTTTAGCAATATTCCAGCAACATTACGGCGGGGGACACCACAAATGGGCTTCACACATTGTACCCATGCGGGGAATCGAACCCGGGTCTTCGGCAAGACGGGCGAACGCTTTTACCCACCCCTTGCCCCACATGGGGGTAGATATGGTAATTAGTGAGTGGTAAAATAATTATCACTTAATTGAAAGGTGAATTGCAAAATAAATCTACTGAAAACTACAACCCGTCTACATGGAAACAGGTGCTTGTCTGACACGAATAGCGGTTTTACACCCTGGAAATAGAAAACTAAGTTACCTTATATGACAAAATTTATATATCGAGCACTATAAAATGCACACTTCCTTTTCCAAAAATCTTTATCCGCGCTTAAAATGCATCTCCTGTTTCGAAGGAGGCATCCTGTGTTAGATTAAGTCGGTATTAGGCTCATTTAAATTTTGCTTTGCAGTTTGAATGTTCTCTTAAAACACATGGTAAAATATCTTGCTACTGTTGTTCCATTTTTTATTACTATTTGTCATATGGAAGCAGTTATAAAAGGATTAAAAGAGTAGGTCTTTTATTAACTAATATGCAGTGGAGTAGCTAGTTTGAAGACTGATCATCTGGAAAGCCTTACCGTAGTGTATTTATCATTAATCCTTATTAATAATTTCAAGGTATTCATAAAATCATCATTTATGATAATAGTTACGCTTGTCTTTGAGTATAAAACAACTTGGCAAAATTGACATCACACAAGAGTCATAATCATCGGGTGTGTGTCATTTCGTTACCCAAACGAATTCGTACCCCTAGAACTGAGGCATTTCGTACCCACAATCGAAAGAACATCCGATGAAGGTGTCTGAAGTGATGGGGCGATATGTTATTTCAACAAGATTAACATAAGGGTTTTTTTTCAATTGCTTGACCTCACCAATTGAGATAACTATTGACTTCTTCTGTCACGACTGCAGTTTGCCGCCTGCATCGCCAACATCTCCTGCTTCTTCTGATGTCTTCGAACGCTACCTTCACAGTCCAGCATTCGTTTAATGATTCATCATTCAACTTGACTGCTACAAGTTTTCAAGCTGTTACCATTGTCGTAAAACGTCATTGGGTTTATTACCCCAATCATAAATATCTGTAATCGCGCGTGGATGAGGAATAAGAATGTAGCAATTTGTGCGCCTCTGTTACATAATGAACAAATTCCTCTGGTAGCGGGACTGAACCATACACATGTAGTATTTCCCGACATAAACAATCTAGTTCGTAAACACAGCGTCGAGCTGGCACACCAGTTACGGTGTTCAAAATAGGTTTTAGTTATTCGAATACATATGTTGTGGTTAAGTTATCCCCCTAGATGCCACAGGAGCATAATCACTTTGAAGTTGAATACAACGCAAAATACATCACGCACATACACACATACATGTACACTTCATAGTTCTGTGGGAAATTCTTATTTTTCTGATATCACAGGCAGCCATTTTAGGCAAAGCAAATCTACTGAAAACTAAATCTGAAAATTATGCTACTTTTGACCTGACTAGTGAGTGAGTGAGTTGGGTTTAACGCCGCTTTTAACAGTATTCCAGTTGTATCACGGCGTGTCAGCTTAATATGGGAGGAAAGCCCGAAGTAATCAGTTCTCAGACGTTTACCACTTCGGTGAAACCCACGCGCACGGGTATGGTGCTGACAAACCCAGAAACATAATCGGGGCGAACCGGGATTCGAACCCACAATCATAGGTTTCTTTCGTGCCCAAGGGACGCAATTCTGCACAGCGAATAGCGGCGCCTTAGACGACTGGGCCACCCGTGCCCCCTGACATGACTAAATCCCAATATTCACAGCGATGTTTCAAGTACGATTTGAAATCTTAATGTCGGAGATATACTCGGAAAATTCAATGACGAAAACAGCACATAGGTTTATCACGTGTAAGTGTGGTTTATCAAATCACCAAAGATGATTCTGAAACATTGCCGATAACCCTAGAATCGTTTAAAATATTTTAGAAAATAGGCAAACACGAACGCCGAAGCGAACTTTCCGCCATAATGGATAGTGTTTACAAAATCACGTTTCGCGAATGCCGGTTATGAGACGCCTATTACATCACTTATATTTCACACACAGCTGCGATACATACATCCCTGATTTACGCATACCGTTTTAGTATCAACTTACAACTTGTCTTTGTCACGATTATAAATGGTCTGGATGAAAATAAACGCTGATGTCATAGGGGTAAATCGATTTTCTTCATTCATGGCAAGCTATTTTTCCTATCGAATGTAGATCTCTCGATTCTATAACGTTTTGCATGTGCATACAAATCCATTCAATAAAAAAAAAAAATTGTCGTTCAGAAATAAGGCAGCATTTTGTTCGCACGCAGTTTCCGAAAACCTGTTAAATAAAATAAATTCTCGCACAACGTTCACTTTTCAGATATTTAAATAAGAGAATGTGCGTATGAAACATAACTCGGCATCATAACACCCTCGTGTTCCACCAAGCATGAACAGTTAATTGGATCATGTAGATACATTAGGACATAAACCTACTGTGTTTTGAAATTTGATGTAGACATCTAGTCCACTGTAGAGCGTCGAATGAGTGTTTTATTGAAGGTTACATACCAAATACGGTGACAATGCATAAACGCAACATGTATATTACAAAATGTGTACTCATAAATATGTGACGTCAGACGGTGGGTGCACGAGCAATGACGTAATATATTGTGCACCTCGGCATGCAGTTATATACACAGCGGAACAAGCCGATTAAACTGGGAATGTGCTACAAATTGCAGCGCCATCTGGCGTTCTTAGTGTCATATCGTGCACACTGACGTTCTTTATAAGGATGGGACGAGTCCAAAATTACTACCCGGGTACCCGACCCCCATTACCCGACCTTACCCGGGTACCCACTGTAGGTCTCAAGAGTTGGGAACAAAATGTCTGACTGGGAATTGTATTACCGCAGCACTGGCAAAAACTATTTCGATACATATATGTATCAAACAATCAGATCATGGGTACACTAAAGTTGACTGAAGCTTTATCTTTACTGAAACACATACAGTCAAAAGGAATGTGTGCATCGTCAGAAAGAAATGCGACATTAGCTACTTGTAGTGTAACCGGGGTTCGGGTACTGAAGGTACCTGGGTCCTACTCAGGACCCACCCGACCCGAGTACCCGTGTTACCCGTCCCAGCCCTAGTTCTTTAGTACACATTGTTCTTTCTTTTAAAATGACGTCTTTTCGTAACATTTGACTATTTTTGCGTACTTTTGACCTTTATTTCAGCTTGGCATTTTTTTTTTTACCGGCGTCTGTTTGTTTTGTATTTTGACCTTAAATTTATTAGTAACGTTTAACATTTAAGATCTTTATTCTTACCATTTGACTATTATTGCGTGTTTTTGTCCTTTATTTTAACCAGAGACCATATAATATTATATGGTCTCGGTTTTAACTTTGTATATATAATATAACGTACCTTTTATATAATTTTTGTTTGGTTTGGTTTGTTGTTTTACGCCGCACTCACCAATATTCCAGCTATATGACGGCGGTCTGCAAATGATCGAGTCTGGACCAGACAATCCAGTGAATAACATCATGAGCATCGATCCACGCAATTGGGATACAATGACATATGCATCAACCAAGTCAGCGAGCGTCACCAATCGATCCCGTTAGTCGCCTTATATATAAAGGTATTTAGAAATACAAAATAGGGTCACAAGTTTTCGTATTTTTAGGGTTAAGAATTTTCCAGTGGTACAAAAATCATTCCGGTTCTTTCTCCCGGTTCGTTTATATTCAGTGCAATGATTGATCCCCCCGAGACAAAGGGAGGCTACTCCGTACAACCATTCAAACCATAACAAAAACACATTGTGCCCACACATCTCAACAATACTCAGGCAAAGCCTAATAAATACCAGACGACAAGCCCATCCTTCTTCTTTGATGTTAAGAAATAATGTTCGGTATACCTATATTTGCTCCGTGCTGTCAAGTTTGTTTCATAATGAGATCTCACAAAGATGGTCGTAGAGGTAGATTGTAATGATGGACCAAGCAACTAAAATTTAATACTTTACCTCGCTGTGTTTTCCTTGAGTTGCTGCACGGTCGCTTTGACATTCAGCCTTGATCGACACAGGAATTTAACGACCCCATTCAACACAATGTTCAAAGTGGATTGTTGCTGCCTCTCACTACTAACGACACTATTTCCGTATCATGATGTTTTGCAGCCTGTATTGAACTGCAAGTACGATGTCGGTTACCAATCGGCCAACCTCGCCCCTTTCCGTAACTGCAAAGAAGTCATTTTCAGCGGAAATGTCCGATCGTGCTCGGCTTGTTTACGTGTCAGTGCACGTAAATAGTTGTATTATTATCACATGATCATGTGACCGTCACTTATAGTCACGTGGCATGTGTATGCTTCGCAGGTCTGAGAAATGTCCACTGTACGTCAGTTTCTCCGGGATTATTACCTGAAACGACACCTGGCTTAAAAGGCGCCACCGTACATTACAATTATTGTTTTACTATTTTCCAGCAATACAACATGAACATGAGATTAGTTGTGTATGTACATGTGTAGCTATCTTTAAGAAAGGTAATAGAGATAAACATATCTATATATACATCACACGCCATAGTAACTGATTACGTGCGACATTGTGCACGTGTTGAGATTATGGAGACGACACATGCCTCTTTTGAAACAAGTCTTGATTTACTGAGGAGGAAAGCGAGGAATACTTAAAACATATTTATATGTACGAACTTTACAAAACGAAACACAACAATATAGACAACTAGTGTTTGTTTGTTTGTTTTTTAACGCCGCACTCAGCAGTATTCCAGCTATATGAGGGCGGTCTGGACCAGAAAATCCAGTGATTGACATCATGAGCATCGATCCACGCAAACTTGATCACCCGATCCCGTTAGTCGCCTCTTACGACAAGCATAGTCGCCTTTTATGGCAAGCATGGGTTGCTGCAGACCTACTCTACCCCGGATCTTCACGGGTTATACTGGTGAATGAGTGAGTTGAGTCGACAGTATTTCAGAAGTGATCAACAAATCTGGGATTCGTACCTACTATAATGAATGAAGAAATGCATATTCAGAAATTATAGCCGGTCATCCCATAGTTTAAAAAAATGTACATATGTGTATAAATCATGACTATATGAATTTAATATTAATATTTGTTTGTTGTTTAACGCGGTACTCAGCAATATTTCAGCTATATGACGGCGGTCTGTAAATGATCGAGTCTGGGCCAGACAATCCAGTGATTGACATCATGACCATAGATCCACGCAATTGGGATAATGCTGCGTTGATCTTGTGAAAGGTTTCTTTCTTAAATCCCAAGGTTCAGTTTGATGTTTCGTCGGGTGTGTTCGTTCCTTTTACCCTTGACATGCTAAAATCTTCATCGTGTCCTTAAGAACTAAGACAAAAGGAGTAGGTCAAAAACCATACACGTGACGTGTGATCTGAAATGGGGTTTCACGTCGCGTTCAAGAGTTTTGCACTTATATAGAGACGTGCATGCACATGCGACGAGCCCCCAAATTGCCCGTAACTATTGTTTGTTTGTTGCTTAACGCCGCACTCAGCAGCTGAAGTGAAATTTGGTTTAAGCTCGCGTCCAAGATTATTGCACTTATACAGCGACGTGCATGCACGTGTGTGTGTGTGTGTGTGTGTGTGTGTGGCTGCTTGTACTAGTCCAGACTAATGCCGACTTATAGTGCTAGCTCACTGAGATACCATGCCGCAGTTTAACCTGATACCCCACTCAGACACAGTATACTGACTTTGAGCCGACCAGTCCTTGTTTTAGCTCCTTAATGCCGAGCGCCAGACAGGGTAACAACAAGTACCACCTTTTAACGTCTTTTGATATGACCGCACTCAACAATATTCCAGCTACATGACGGCGGTCTGTAAATAATCGCGTCTTTATGATGGTATTCATTTCTACTTATGCTAATTAAGTAACTTTGTTCTGGCACACACGTAATGATGTCATCTAAGCTAGTGACGTAATCTCTTTATTCATTCTTCGGTGCTTGACGTTGTTTGACGCCGCTCTCAGTAATATTCCAGCTATATTTCACAGCGGCCTATAATTAATCAAGTTTATACCAGACAAACAAGTGATTGATATTATTAGCAACGTTCCATGCCGTCGGTGTACGATTACACGCAATCAACCTCATCGAGCCTGCACACGTGATCCATGTAGTTTCCTTGTACGACAAGTATTGGCTTCTGGGGACCTAGTCTGGCCCGAAATACCAATTGGATCTATATTTTAGACCCAACTATTCCACGACAGGTCATATTTTTTCATTATAGGCCATTATCCAAAAGTATGCCTGTAAAAAGAAAGGAAGGTTTTACTGATTATTTGCTGATTTCTCAAAAGCGTTTGATACGGTTGATCACAATATACTGTTACAGAGTTTGGCTGATATTGGTGTCTGCGGAAAGTTTTTTTTATCTATTATTACATCAATGTATGATAAACTGTGTGCCTGTGTTAGAACACATGCTGGGTTATCCAAATACTTTAAATGTAATATAGGTACCCGTCAAGGATGCATCCTCAGCCCTCAGATCATTTTAATATTTATAAATAAACTTGTACATTTTATGGAAAATTATGGATACAAACTGTCTTTATTACTAAAGACTGTCCAGAAAAATATGCACTTATGTTTGCTGATGACGTGTCGTCTATTGCTGATAAACCTTTGAATTTACACAAGAAGATCAATGCCTTGGAACATTTTTGCAATACCACAGGCATGAAGGTAAACTTGAAGAAAACTAAACGTTAGGGTATTCAGAAATGGCGGACCCCTTAGACATTATGAAAAATGGAAATGTAATAATGTATATATTGAAACTGTGCCGTTTCATAGATATTTGGGTATTGTGTTCACGCCCAAACTTGTTTGGACTAAGGCACTAAATACTCTTGCTGCCCAGAGTAACAAGGCCATTATGACATTATATAGATATAAAAAAAGTTGGTAATATACCCTGTCAAGATTTATTCAAGATGTTTGATGCTATGACTGTGCCTATTGTCTGTTAGGGCGCAGAAGTATGGGGCATCTCAAATTGGTAAATTATTGAAGATGTACAGAACAAAATGTATAAATGTTTTCTAAATACAGGTACAACTACAAACACTGCTATGGTTTTAGGAGAGTGTGGCAGAGCTCCTCTCCAACTTGTGTATACCACAAGGGCCATCAAGTATTGGTGCAGGCTACTGCGTTTGGACGAGCACAGACTGCCTCGCCAATGCTAGCATATGCTCAAATCACTGGACCATTCTGGTCGCACCACATGGGCTACTCACATTAAGAATATTTCGTTTAAATTAGGATTTGGATATGTATGGTTAACACAAGATGTTGGCAATGTGAAGATATTTACTCATCTTTTTAAACAAAGATTATTTGATAACCTTCAACAATCACGGTGTAGTTCTATCAATAGTATATCTGATACCAGAGATATATGGTCTCTGCTGATACCCTTTATTAAACATTTTAAATCTCTGTTAAATGTAGAAAAATATCTTATACTCCCCATACCAGTACATCTGAGAATATGTATGACTCGTTTCAGATGTAGCAGGTTTAAACTTAAAGTTGATTTGGGGAGATACACAAATGTCCCATACACTGAACGATTATGTAAATATTGTATAGAAAATGGTAGATCTTTTATTGAAGATGAATTTCATGTTTTGCTTGTATGAGAGAGTTATTCAGCGATAAGAAGTATGTATCTTTAACAGTATATCAAGTCTCAAAGTGTAACATCTTTAACTGAAAGTATTTCATCAGAAAACTTTGATGTTGTATATAACACATGTTTATATTTATATAAAGTCCAACGGCTAAGAGAAACTTAAATCGATTACTTCCTTGGCATGCGTAGTTCATGCAACCAAACATTGTCTGTATTAGGGGCCTATTGCCTTTCTACTGAATAAACTGTTTGTCTGTCTGTCTCTACATAAACATGGTGCAACAGCGTAGGTATGTTGTGACAAATAGTTATGAATGAGTTAACGAGAAGATATACATTCACGATGTGGCACACATCACCATGATGACATACAATGAAACTCGAAGTCCTATAGGGACCATATCATGAAACACATCGAGGTATCCATAGTTCGATACAAGCTAGGAGCTGTGTTTAACCTGGTACTATCAGCATACACTTTTGTGCAAACTAATTAGGTAATAAAATATTTAAAATATGTTTCATATGATCATGTAAACATCATACACGCGTTTATTTACCATATGAACTCTATGTCTTGTCTATTTTAATAAGAGAAATATATACTATTTTTATTCGGAATTTATTTATGATAATAAGTCTATGAGTCAACACCTCCCATTTTCAAAATGTATATCGGTATGGGGAACATAACAAACCATAATATTATATATTTTTTAACTTCGGAATAATTTGGAATACAATGATCAACCAAGGGTTCAAAATAAGACCAGCTTTAATAGCCTTCAAACTATTTGCACTTTCTGGCTAGAAAACATTTGGGAGAGCCTATTATTATTTTAGGGTTTAAACTTATATTGTCTGACATTAGGTGTAATGTACAAGAACCTATACCTTTCTGAACAAAATAGATCCCAGTAAAACGAGTAATAGTCCCCGATAAGAGGCTTCAGCAAGGCTACATGTGGCTGATGCAAGAAAATGTCAATATGGAGAATGTATTGTACGGACGAATTGTGTTGATAATAAACGGTCAATATTATCAGGATTTGAAAAGATCAAATTTAGAAAAAAATATAATTACCATGTATTATTAGTTCCAGCAATGAAATTGGTATATGTCTCGTTTTTTATTTACATTTGTTCACAAAACAAAATCAGTAATCACCCCTCCCTCTAGCCGGCAACATAAATGCGCATGCGTATTAGTCCACGTTGGAAATATTGAGAAACGGACAGGCAAGGCCCATCGGTGTCGAGGTGTTGCGTGAAAACTTGATTAACTTGTCAACATGGTGTTAGATATTGAGCTCTTCCGTGCCGACAAGGGTGGGAACCCTGCTAAAATCAAGGAGAACCAAGCCAAAAGATTTAAAGATGTTACGTTAGTGGACAAAGTTGTCGACCACGACACAGCATGGAGGAAACGTAAGTTTGGGAGTTGACACCTGCCTCTTGAGACTTGTCTTACTGTATGTGACAGGTGCTCAGTTGTCGTCATAAATATTGTAATCTTGTGTAAGATTATTTGTAGTTTCTGTTACTATTCTTCGTGTCATGCTTAACAAATTCGAAACACATCTTGCCGGCTCTTAATTTCGCGTGAATAAATGTGTATGATGTGTTTGTATTACTTTTTAGGATCTGCATTTAGGATGATTAGATATACAGTCGATTTTTTTTTGCAATATATTCGGCCATAACAAAAATGAATCATTAGATTTCCATCCTCATCCGCCTTACTACGGGACACTCCACGTCACAGAAATTTGTTATTGTCTTAAAAAAAGACTGCGGCACCAAGAAAATCACTATATGTACATGATGTAGGTGTTCCCGTCTTTCTTTTTTATGTAATTTATATGACTGCAGAGGTGCACGTGATCACATCATACTCATGATGTTTAAACTTGTACAGTTAATCGTGTGGAAAGTCCTATATCCACTCTTTTGATTCCCTGTCATTCCATTATAGAGGCGGTTGGGTAGCCTTGTGGTTAAAGCGTTCACTCGTCACACCGAAGACCCGGGTTCGATTCCCGACATGGATACAATGTGTGAAGCCCATTTCTGGTGTCCCCTGCCGTGATATTGCTGGAATATTGCTAAAAGCGGCGTAAAACCATACTCACTCACTCACTCACTCACTGATTCCATTATAACAGAAATCGACTCAACCTTTTGTCACAGACAGAAAAAAAGTACATTTGCTCATAGTTTCACAAAGTTATTGTTAAAGTAAACTGTATACACAGAATATTTCAGAAATAACACAGCAATGGCAATAACTGGTCCGTGGCAAGTAGTCCTACCTAACATTCATGCTTCAGGTGAATCACATCTGTTGACAGTTAGTGTACTAAGATGTGTTTAACAGTTTGCTAAACAAAATAGAATACCTCCCACCTCATAGTCATAATACAAAATTAGAATTAAAAAGTAATCACTCATTTATTGTGGCCCTTCAGAGATACATAATACATAAAAGCTTGTAAAATTAAACAGGAAATTACTCTCAGGTTTACTGTCTACATATTAATGTTGATTGTTTACCTCTTCTTCTAGTGAGGTTTCGAGCAGATTTGCTGAACAAACTCAAGAACGTGTGCAGCAGAGTTATTGGAGAAAAAATGAAGGTTGGTATATTGTATAATGGTATGTCATGGATATGTGACAGACGAAAAGTTAGTCGAGTGGACAAACTGCATTAAGTGTCCCTCTGCTGTTTTGTCTTTCCCAACAGCATCGATCATTGCTCATGCTGCCAACCAATGCTGGTGTGTCTAAAGCAGACTTTTATTAACAGGCAACTGTTTGTTTGCGGACAAACATTGCTCTCAGCAATATTTGAGCTATGTGTCGGCAGCCTGTAAAAAAAAGTGGTTGATATTAGCATCTCCCCGCATAATGGGGATAAGATGACACACTGTCAACCAACTCACAGTCCCTGACCGGCCTGTCTGTCAAATCACCTCAGTACAACAAACAAAGGTTGTTGGGGACCTGTTCTCAAGATCTCCACTGTGATATGGCTGGAATATTGCTGACTGTTCTAAAACTTACTGAATTTTCACTTGCCTCAACAGACTAGTGGCTCAGTCTATTTCTGTTTCTGTGTACTGAAAGGTGCCTGGGGTTATTTCTGTAGTACTCGACAGGACAACACCCAGTCAATCTTGAACATGTTTTAGATCATGAGCAAAACTTCAAGTGTGAGTGCAAGTGGATCATGATCATTCATGTTAATTTTGTTATTATTTTTCTAGCAATATGTGACATTGTCTAAACCATGTAAACCTACATATTATAAGACTTTAAGAATCAGTTTCTTAATCTGCATTTCTTAGAACATTTTGTATCGATCATGTCATGGACACGTCATAAAGATTGGTATGAATACGTTTTTCTCATTAGTGCTTATCATGCTTATAGCTCTACCTCTTTAATCAGGTGATGTAACAAAATATCTCGACTAAGAAACAATAGTTACACTGGTTGATGCGTATCAATTTCTCTTCACAGAAAAAGGAAGCAGTTGGTGATGATGCCGCTGTTCCATCAGAAGTTCTGGACAACCTGGATGGTATTACACAAGATCAGCTAACAGTAGGCAACCCTCCACCATTCTGTGTCATAGCGGACTGAACAGTCTGTGCTAAAAAAAACTTTGATTCTACAACTAGTACTAGCTTGTCTTTTAGCATCATTTTGAGTACATTTTAGATTTAGTATTTGGACTATTATTTGCATGAATAACTTGGCTTACTATACTGGAGACCCATGAAGATCCGGGTTAGAATTGGTCTTCAGCAACGCATGCTTGTCATAGGAGGCGACTAACAGGATTGGGTAGTCACACTCGCTGACTTGATGTATGTCATCGTATCCCAATTGCGTGGATCGATGCTCATGATATCAATCACGGGATTGTCTGGTACAGACTAGATTATTATCAGACCGCAGTCAGATAGCTGGAATATTGCTGAGTGTGGCATTAAACAACAAACAAATGGCACACTTGAAAACAAAAACAATTCTATCCCTGGTCTTTCTTCTTTCGTAGAAATTGTCACTCTTGATTGAAATGGAGATACTTGCTTAGTGAAAATAATGCATTTCCTTTAGCATGTGTTTAGAATGTATAGTATTCTAATTGTGGAGATTGTTCAATACAGTGAAAGCACAATCTGGTCTTCAGATATCAAGAAACTTTTGATGGTGATAAATCTGTGTATTCATTTATGTAATTAAGCTCTCTAAATGAAATTTTATTTTCTTTACAGGGTTTGACAGTGAACCAGATCAAGAAAGTACGAGTTGAGATTGATGAAGCCATGAAGAAGAATGATGCTGATCTGGCTACTGAGGAAACACTACGAAATGAATCTCTGAAGGAAATTGGCAATATGATTCATGAAAGCTGCATTATCAGCAATGATGAGGTCAGTGTGTCATGTAACCTTTATTCTGGTTATTTCATTTGTGTGACATCCTTTAATTTTTTTATCTTATCCTGCATTATCCCTTAATGTTTGTTCTGCTTACATTTGACAGAAATAAAGTTGTATGATGTCTAGCTGAAAAAAAGTTGTTCCAACCAGTGAACTACTTTTTCTTCAGCTGGCCATCACACAGCTTTGTTTCTGTCAAAAGCAAGCATTAAGGAGCACAGTGATCCCTCGCTATTGGGCTCTTCGATAAAGCGCTACTTCGGTTACTACACGCGGTATTGCATGGCTCCCAAAATTTATGTACACTTTTAATACTGAGTTTTACACAGCCATGATTGTATTGTTGTTCATTGTTCATTTGCACATAACGCTTCTCATTGCATAATCAACCGTTTATCGCTGAATGGAGTTCTAAAAATCTGTTTGAAAACATCCGAGGCAAGTCCCGGAAATACGATTGTTCTACTAGTTAACTTTTCACACTATACATCCTTTGATCTTAGAAGCACATGCATGCAATAAAAGAGAACCACAAGCAAAGTTTATTTTCTTAATTAGTGGGCAATCCAATTTGAGGCGACACTGTCAACTCACATGTAGTTGCTGTCACAACACGTCGGTCATTCCTTTTGATTCGGATCAAGTAACCGTATCAAACCAATTAATCTGGCTTGAATGTGTATCTATATTTGCATGAATGTGTATGAATGTGCGTAGTGCTGGTCAAAACTCTCGTTTTCCGTGTTTTAAGCAACATGACCAATCAATGCCACTGAATCACTCTGTACTTGTGTAATGAATTGTGATTGGCTCTTCACTCATAGCATCTGTTACTACCATTATCGATCGATATTTTCATGTAAGTAGACTACATTCACATTTAATGTGACAGTTAAGGCTTGTAAATAATAACAACTGGCGAAAACATAATGAATATATATTTTTACACTATGAATGGTAAACAACTTGTATCATTGCAATGTGCGAGACAAGGCGAAGATCGTGAGATTGGCCGAGTGCGCTCCCCCGCCTCGGCCACGGTTAAACGGCTCATCGTCTATAACGCCCACCAATTATTTGGACCCCATTGGTGGCGTTGTAGCGAGGGACCACTGTATTAAGGACTTCTGCAGGTATACAATTGTAAAAAGATATTTCGATTTGACTAAACTTAGTGATAGACCTTTTAGCATGTTTAGGAAAATATGTATTGTTCTTTATACTACTACAGGATCACTTCATAGGATGAGGGGGAAGTTTGCAACGACACAACATAATTACTTAATTTGGATATATCTGAAGAATATTTACACATTTTACAGACATCATTTCCGTTGTTTTACCAACTGTTACAAAATATGATCTTTATTATGTGAACAGGCTGAGAACGGAATTGAGCGTACATTTGGAGATATAGAAGTGAGAAAGAAGTATTCCCATGTGGATCTGGTGGTGATGGTGGACGGTGTCGACAGTGACAGAGGGACAGTCACAGCTGGTGGGCGAGGCTACTATCTCAAGGTGCTCTTGCTATGCCATTTATGATAAAGATTTTGTATAAATATCACCATCCTAGTAATTATGATAATAATCCTGCCCTTGCTAAAAGTAAAGGAGGAAACAAGAAAGACAGATGAAAAACCAGTAGTAAGGAGTCGTACATAATGTAACTTTTTACTATTATTAACTATAGTAATGCATACACGGTATAGTAATGTTCAATTGTCCATGTTCCAGGGCCCCCTGGTCTTCCTAGAGCAGGCCCTGATCAACCATGCCCTGCAGATGCTGCAACTCCGGGGCTTCACTCCACTGTACACACCATTCTTCATGAGGAAGGAGGTGATGCAGGAGGTTGCCCAGCTCTCCCAGTTTGATGATGAGCTGTACAAGGTCAGTGTCTACTTGTTACTTGTAGGTCAGGATCACTCAAGCTGGTGGGGTAGTAGAAAGTCAAATAAATAGACTGGGGGAGATGGTGTGCTATACACTGGGTCAGTTTGCCATTTGTATGAGCCGGTCCCCCTGGCCATTCAAGCTTAACTACTACCCTGGGGCTAGTACAAATTCCTGTGGGCTAGTACAAATTTCCCCATTGTTTTATTATTACAAGGGTATTTTGTCTTTAAGCAGGCTAATGAAGCTATTGAGTTTAGTTCTAACACTGCCCTCCTTTAGAGTTGGAGGGAAGTGTCCTTGGTAGGATTCACATACGATGAACAGACCCATCAAGACATTGGCTCTGCCCTAGTCAATTCCTTGTCTCTATTTGATTGGAATCTGTCTGCTAGAATCTCCATCCTAGCCAAGTGGTAAAAGGGGGATGCTTTACCATCCCACTTCCCTTTCACTGCCAGGGGCTGTTGCAACAGGATGGTTCCTCTGTGTAAAGGGACTTGTCAGAGGTGTAGGAAAACCTAAACAACAATCACTCCTTGGGAGAGAGGTCTTAGTTCACATAAGTGATAGAACGCCCTCTGGTAAGGCAGTTCAGTCTGTCCATTGTTTCAAAATTCCATTATTAGAGTGCCAATGGCTCCATGCAGGGTTTCTTCACGAAAAATTCATGGATGTGTTGGATGTCAGTGGGGGAGCCCATTTCGGATATGGGAGCCAGCAATATGTGCCTTCAATAATATGTTGGAGTTTGAGGCTGTCAGTTTGGCAGTGGATGCATTTGCATCCAAGCTAGCAGGCAGAGCTGTCATTCCCCATACTTGAGTTGAGCTATGACAGTTCTGATAAAAGTCCAACAGCTCAAGGGCCACCTGGAAGGTCAATGTCTTGGCCACACCCTCAGCAGGCGGGGTTAGAGTAAGCAGAGTGGACGCTCAAGAGGAGTACAGTCTGCAGGCTGTCCTATCTATGGGACATCCCACCACACAAACCTCTTTTCCACTCAACGTCATCAAATACTTCCTTCATTGTGTCTTCAGTGCTGAACCCCTCTAGTGGTAGCATCTGATGCTTTCATGTTAAACTGGACAGGCTTGGCTGCTTATCCTTTTTGTAGTCACACACCATAATGCAGATACGCCCGATGTGGCCAGCACCGCCATGGTTACGTCCTCGAGTTACTGGTAGGGCTACCAGTGGTCCTTCTGCTGGTGAAATATAATGTAAAATAGATCAACATTTATTAACGGTTTGAAATATGAAATACTTTTATTCCTAACTGTGGTGTTTTATAATTGGATTGTGCCAGTAAGACCGTTTCCATTTCCTTGGTGTAGGTAATAAGCAAGGGCAGCGAGAAACAAGATGAGAGTGCTATTGATGAGAAATATCTGATTGCCACCTCAGAGCAACCTATTGCTGCATTCCATCGAGACGAGTGGATCCCCACTGAGAGTCTGCCCCTGAAGTACTGTGGCTACTCCACATGCTTCCGCCAGGAGGTCGGCTCACATGGCAGAGATACAAGAGGCATCTTCAGGGTGCATCAGTTTGAAAAGGTGGGATTAACATGCTGTATTTAGTTGCCAAGTTTACAACTTAACATTGTCCCATTTGTCGTGTGTTTGACTTCATCGGTCAAGGGTTTTATGGTTTCATGGGACTTCATTCAGAAGATATTAACAATCTGATCCAAGTATTTTGTTTATTCTGGATGATGTGACAAGCAGGGCAATATTACAAATTGCTCTTGACAATGTGACAAATGGACTAGTCTTGGCTCATATTTTCTGCGGCTATGGGTAATACACTAGTTCAGTTACAGCAGGGTAACACATGGCTCCCAAAATTTACTTACATTTTTAATAAACTCAAGTTTTACACTGTGACAGGATGTTGTTTCCCAACCGTAAAAAAAACATTATCAGCAGATCACTGCGAGCATGTAACCCTTGAAATACCAGTCAACAAATCCATACTGAAGCAGGCAACTGACCATGCTTACTCCCATTATTTAATTATATATCTTATTTTAAAATACATGTTCATTGTATATCTGGACTTGTGTTTGTAAAATATTTTATTGATTTTATTCAAAATTTCATTTCATATTCTTTACAGTAATTTAGGAGATATCGTGTTTGAAGTGATTGGTGGATCACACAACTCACAGTTATATACAGCAACCTGGGTCAGATTACCGCTATTGACACCTTGAAACAAACCTTTAGTTGACAGAATATATATCATAAATGCTGTACTTTGACTCGTTATAAAGTGATATTTGTAGCAATTTGACCATTATATATCAACATAACATTTTTCTAATCGAAATTCATGTAGCACGGAGAGTCCTTACAGTGACAGGTCAAATTGTTCCATACGTAAAAAATATCCTGCAATAGCAATCAGCTGTACCAAAGAGCTATGCTTATGGTTCTTGTAATTAAAAAATATATAAAGTAAAAGCTGTAACGAAAGTAACAAGATATTGGATTATATTATTCCTGAAAATATTCATGTCAGGTACTGGTATTGGAATCACTGGTTTGCACTGGTGATGTGCTTCATGTGCGGCTTTTTGCATTTAAGCGGGGTATAAGGAATGTATTCTGCCTTGCATATCCACTTGTAGCCTGCATTGCTCGTGGCGGGGTATAAGAGATTTATTCACCCGCTGAGAAAACCAAGGGGGGTTACACAGTGTTTTATCAAGATCACATGGACCAATCACATCACATCATTCTGCCAGTGAGGTATGATGATACTCCTTAATGCATTTACTGGTGATTTTTGACAGAAAGACGAGGTTGTGTGAGGCCAAGCTGAAGAAGTTGTTCCAGCTAGTTGTGTGGCTAATCCCATCACACAGCGCCCTTGTGACCACAGAACTGGCAATAGTCCTCTCGTAGACTTTTTTTTTATGTGGTGGTACCCACCTCTCAAGATCATCTTTCACAGTACAGGACAAGAAATTACAAATATTCCAGAGATCAACTTGCTCCTCCACCAGCCACATCACACATTCTACACAGAACACGGGAACACCACTTGTCTGACTACCACACAGTTCACAGTGGATTGTCAGTGTGTTGAGCTTGAACCTCGTCTCCAGCAAAATGCAGGATCTGATGTCCAGAGAACAGCTCCAGCTACGCCCAATCCAACAGCTTTGGCTCTGTTCATCAGACGCCAGGATCTGTTGGTCACTGTCGGCCTACCCATCCTACCTCCTACGTTATCTCCTGTGGTAGATAGAGACAGAGATAGCGCCAACCTCATGCCTGTTCCTAGACGCCTGACTACAGGTTTGGAAGGATCATCTGAAGGTCCAGACAACCTCAGGGCAGTGGTCCAACGATCAGTGCACAGGGCTTCAAAACAACTTGGAGCTGGAAGTGCTCATTCTGGTTATATGCCACTGCCAGAACTGTCTCCAGAATGCCAAGTTAGCCATATCCACAGACAATATCACTGTGGTTTGGTGTCTGCGCAACCAGGGGACACTTTGTTTATGATGACAAGTGGTGTTCCTTTGAAATCTTTGGCAAGGAGAAACATCAGGATCCCACTTTAGCATCCCCTCATTCTCAACTCCTTCTGATCCTCTGCAGCAAACAACAACTCGGGGGAAGCACCGTCATTACCTAGTGGCCATTACCTCGGTGTTGGCAGTTCCAGATGATTGTAAAATGACTAAGATTCCCAAACAGCAAGCTTTGCTTCACTCCGTCAGGCTTCTGTGTGGTCCTTCGTTTGAGCCTTTCCACTCAGCTTCCTTCTTTAAGCTCATCAAGAAGATGTTTTTTTCCTCTTGGCACAAGTGCCTAGTTCATACACAGGTTTTTTATCCACCGATCTAAGACTCAACGTGGTGCCTGGAAACGGCTTTTCATCCTTGTCTCCGGGACATCCACGACATTAGTCTTTGTGGTTACGTGCAGTCATCGTTCAGGCGTAGGAGGCTGCTGTTTCATACTCCAAGGGCCTCACAAGTCCCAGGCGGTTTCTTCAACAATGACTCTCCATAGCAATTGCTACATCAGATCCATCATGGAAGGATTCTTATGGAGACCTTACTCAGTTTTTGCAAGCCATCACCTGATGGACACGTCGTTGTACAGCAGGTCACCAATCCCAGACGCCATTGAAATTCTCCAGTTGACCTGAGCCAACCTTTTCCATATCTCACAGTGTTCACATGCCAGATGGGAAGTTTCCAGATAGATAGACTAAGAAGTCTTAGACTTAAGCATACTCTATTTTCTATTGCAGGCTTTTACCTGTCCTTCCTACAATCCCCATACTGTCATCTTTCCTCTGGCAGGAGTGGTCTCCTGGTTTCTGATCATCGCAAAAGGATGTCATGATGGTTACTTGGATCTTTGACAAGGTTTTTCTGAGGAAAAAAGAAGAAAGAATCCAAGACAGAAGTGAGTCATAGCACAATATTTTTGTGGTTGTGAGCGGTCATCCTTCATGCTTGTGACCTCACAATATCAGGGCGGTCAAATCTATGATGGCTGTCCACAGCATTTGCTCCATTAGATCCATCACGGAAGGATGTTTCTGGAGATTCAACACAGTCTTTGCCAGCGACAACCTGAGGGACATGGAATTGGAAGATGTCGAAGGTATCCAGAGTTTTGGTCCTTCAGTGGTTGCCCAGCAGGTCACCAACACCATTAACTTCTCCAGAAGTCCAGAGCCGGACTTTCTGCTGCTTGCATTCCAGATAAGGAGGCTTACATGCTGCTGGCATTGGCTCAGTAAGTCAGTTTAGATTCAAGAATAAACTGTTTTCTACTACTGTTCTTTGCCTGGACATCCTCATACACTTGTCCTCCCTCTGGCAGTAATGATCATCACAAAAGGATGCTATGACAGACATTTGACAAGGGGATTTGACGAGAGGATCACAGCTGAAGGTATGCTCACCTCCATACCATCTGATTCAGATGCATTAAGGAGTAATGCAGGATAGATTAATTTCTTTTAGTAAAATCTAAATATTTTTTACATTTGTATACATATCCTGCATTACTACATCTAAAGTGGACCACCCATCGCAGAGCTGCCTCCCAACAATGTCTTCAGATGTTATGATCAAGCATTAATATGATGTTTTGTGAGGTCATCACTTCCGTGGGCATTGTGTGATGAGATTAGCCACACAACTAGTTGGAACAACTTCTTCTTCAGCTGGACTTCACACAGTTTCGTCTTTATGTCAAAAATCAACAGTAAATGCATTGAAGAGTATAGCAGTATAAGTATACAAATGTAAAAAATAGTTTGATTTTCCTAATTTTCACACCAATATATTAAAACTTGTAACAAAATGTAGTGCTCTACTGTGCCTCTACAGGGGTCGTAAATTGATGTATTGTATCGTGGTCCTCGTATCGCAATATAATAATATAATCGCTGTATCGTTACACTACTATTTCACATATTTTACAATGTCTTTTCATTGCAGGTAGAGCAGTTTGTTATCACTTCACCTAAAGAAAACTATTCTTGGGAGATGTTTGATGAAATGATAAAGAATGCTGAAGATTTCACACAATCACTTGGCATCCCCTACCGAGTGGTCAACATTGTCTCAGGTAGGATGTATATCAGAACATGCTATTTCATGCATATTCCTGTGCACTACTGATTTTTGTAGAATTTGTCATTTTTCTTGAGGTGAAATTCCTAACAGCATTTTTATGAGGAAGAAGACTCTTATATGATTGAATTTTTATTATCCTTAGGTGAATTGAACAATGCTGCATCCAAAAAGCTGGATCTAGAGGCATGGTTCCCAGGATCAGGTGCCTTTAGAGAGCTGGTGTCATGTTCAAATTGTTTAGACTACCAGTCGAGGAGACTCAAGATCAGATTTGGTCAGACCAAGAAGATGAATCAGGAGGTAAGAGTTGAAGGACATTACTACTAGCATGTTTCAGTACAAGACACTAGCAAGTACTGTCCTTTGACCTCCAATAATGAAAACAGCCCAGCTCATTAACATAATACGCAGCATAAGCTGCAGAATTGTACAGGTATGTATAGTTTAATTCAAGACAAGGCTTTGTTTCCCCTTAAGGATCTTGGGTTCAAAGCCAAGATTCTCACTGAGAAGGACCCTTGCTTCAATTGTAATTCTGAGTTTGTTATTATATGTATATGTATTACTAGGAGAAAAACGTACATGTCAACCCCACCAGAAACTTAATTCAAGTCGACCTATTGTTACAATGACATAATTTTATGAATTTGTAGGGGACATGGGTGGCCCAGTCTAAGGCACCACAATATGTGGGCGGAGTTGTGTCCAATGGGTACACAAGAAACCTATGATCATGGGTTCGAATCCTAGAACTTATGTTTCTAGGTTTGTCAGCACCATACCCGTGCATATCACCAAAGTGTTAAATGTCCGAGACACGCATCACTTCGAGCTTTCCTCCCACATTATACTGACACACTGTAATATAACTGAAATACTGTTCAAAGCGGCGTCAAACCCAACTTAATATCAATTTGTTACCTAATATTGTTCTCAGCAATGAAGCCATGTAACGTCTTGTTGCTTCAACTAACCAATCACCATTATTAAAGTACTGGAAAGCTATTCTTCTCAATCTTTCTTCCTTTATGGATACCCGTGAAGATCCATGCTTGCCATAAAAGGCGACTATGCTTGTCGTAAGAGGCGACTAACGGAATCAGGTGGTCAGGCTAGCTGACTTGGTTGGTGCTGTCATTGATCCCAATTGCGTGGATCAATGATCGTGATGTCAATCACTGGATTGTTTGGTCCAGACTTGATTATTTACAGACTGCCATCATATAGCTGGAATATTGCCGAGTGCTGCGTTAAACAACAAACAAATCCTTATCGAAAATATTAACAGAGCTCCAGATAACCTTTTGAGCAATTGAGTTTTTACTCGAAGGTTTCTATTTAAATTGGGTTATTACATTTTTCATTGAGTAACCAATATTTTTTCACTCATCTATTCAACACTCTATTGGGGCCTGCCCAAAATAAGTAAGCATTTTGAGATTTCAAAAACAATGAAATAATGTTTTAGATGTAAATAACGTTTCTAAATATAGGCTTGACTCGGAAAGTAAATTAGCCTGTAGTTGTGTTTCGGAAATTAGCTGCCTTGTAGGCATTTCTTAAAAAAGCTTCATTGGGTATTTACATGTGCTGTTTTCAAAAAGTTTTTCATTTAATGCATGTGTTTCTGTACGCAAGTTAATTAAAAGGAATTGGGTTTTGAATAGTTTTGGGGTTATTTTAAGCAAATACGCACCTTATCTGTAGCTCTGTATTAAGGAATAAGTGCTGGTGTTTTCCAGGTGGATTATGTTCACATGTTGAATGCTACCATGTGTGCCACGACTAGAGTCATCTGTGCCATCTTAGAAAACTTCCAGACGGAAGACGGAGTTCTTGTGCCCAAAGTCCTTGGTCGGTTTATGCCAGAGGGTAAGTTTACAAGGAGAAACATTAAGCTTTCCACCAAATGATCACTTCAGTCCTTTTTTTCTCAGTAAGTTCGATTCAGTAAGAAGTGTTTACAATGCAGGCTATATCCTACATTTTGTTCAGTTTGTTCTGGGACGCACAGTGTTATCTAGGTCTGCCTGTAGAATTACGACTGTTGTATAATTTATTATCAACAGCTGAACTGCTTTTGGGGAAGGTGACTTTGACTTTTGCTTCTTGCTTGTCATGATTTTCATTCATGACATCCGAGAAAGATGAAATAACAACACCTAACGTGCTGCAAGTGCCACATAACTCAATTATGATTGCTGTAATACATAATAGGAACGAGCACGTAATCTTCAAGTACCCACAGTCTAATCAGGTCTAACCCAAGAAAGCAGCACAAATTACACTGGGATTGGGGATGAATGGAAAATAAAACTTAGGGATATTGAATGTGGACAAGTTGGACACAAATTTGAATTTTTCGTGTTTTCAATAATAGATGGCACTGGTGCATGTTTTAGATCATAATTGGAATTCCTTTGGACATTTTAGGAAACAATGAGTCTGTGGCATGTCTGATGTTTTTGTAATTGTACTGAATTCTGTTTCAGTATATGCAGAGAAGATACCATTTTTGAAACCTGCACCAATTGAAGAACAGGAGAATAAGAAACAGAAAAAGAGCAAAGACAAGAAGAAGAACTTAGAGGAAGGTGTACAAAATATGGATATCAAGAAATAAACCTGTGATAAGCATGTCACATGCTCAAAACAATGGGACCTGTACACAAATTTGCAGGATATTCGCTGCAATGTATTTATTTCACTCGAAGTGCTGACATATTTTTCATCCCTTGAAATGCTACATCATGAACAATTGTTAGCAATCACCATTATTTTGGTTTGTGCTGTCTCAATATTGAGGCCTTTAGCTTGTTTAGTATTTGAATCTTGGAAGATGTCTGTCTATAAAGCTTATCTTTTATTTTGTTTTACTTTTCACAAATGTCTTTAAGATAGTTATTGGTGAAAATACATATGATTTTTGAACACATTTATTTAAAATAAAAATGGATCCAGCACATGTCTGGTCTTCTCCGTCATAGCTGGAATATTGCTGAGTACGGTGTTAAACAAAAAACAAACCCTTATGGAAATATTAACAGAGCGCCAGATAATATTTTGAGCAATTGAGGTTTTACTCAAAGCTTTCTATTTATTTGTGAAAATACATATGATTTTTGAACACATTTATGTAAAATAAAAATGGATCCAGCACATGTCTGGTCTTCTCCAGGAATTCTACATGAATATATAAATTTGTATGGGGGGAAAAGGATTGTTATTTTACAATATTGTTAAGAAGAGCCAGTTGTTCCTTTTTCAATGAAGTTTTAATATATTTAGTCATGAGATCACAGAAAAGACTCCTGAAGTTATGCCAAGTGATGAAGTCATTTTCTCCTTCTGACCAAAACCTTTTAAGAATCTTTAACATGATGTATTAGAAACAATTAATTTCAACTGCTCGATGCGAACATAAATAATGAACGTGTTGAACAGAAAATAACGACAGGTACAGTCATACACTTTCAATGTAAGCCTGAGTTAAGTAAAAATTTAGTAGTAGTCTGTACTAATATCTGCTATGAAACCAGACTGAAACGTTAGTTGCAATTAGTTACAACTGATGATTATATTATCACTATGAATCACTCTTGTTGCAACACTTTCATGTTGGCTTGTGCAATTTCACAACTATGAGTCTATGACATGGAACAGTGAAGAAACATGAATTGCAATGGAAAATGTCAATTAAAACTGAAAACTGAACAAATTATTGTTAATTTCTTTGATTAGTTGAAAGAACAGACCATGATTTCTTGATATATCTCAACATTTTGCTATAGAACAGATGACAGCGAGTATGAATATAAACTTACGCAGCGTGCTAGTGCCAATATACATCACTGGTTGCTCACTCTTGCAGTATCTGATTTGACTGGTCAGGATTCAATCACAGCCAGCCATGATCTAGCTGGGAAGTTGCTGATTGTGGTGTTATACAACATTCACTCACTCATTAATTTAGTCACTTAGGAAATATGATAAGGACCTGCAGATTACCGGATTAAATGTGCCTAGGTCTGGTCTAAGGTGTTCAAGAATCTGTTGGTCATGAGTTCAAATCAGATTTGAGAAGCATTTGGGTCAAATCTATGCTTGTGGGATTTATGAAAGGAGTAAAGATCTACAGTCAACCTTGTATTGGACCCCTACTACTTTGAGCTGAAATGTTGTGATATAACTGTTCAAAACCCAACTCAGCCAGATAGCATCTTGAAAATTTTAGACCCTACTAGTAATTAATAATAACATGTCAACATCCAAAGATCCTGTGAAACAAGAGAAACTCAAAATGGAAACAGACATATTTTATTGGTTAAAAGTCCAAAAAGTCTGATCTGAAAATGTCCAAAAATGAAATAATAAGGGCTATCCAACCCGAAAGGTCTTTCAGAAGAAGTAAAACCCAAGTGAAAAGAAATGTTATTTATTTTATGATCATTAACATTGTAAAACATCCAAAAGGTCCTTAATGTGTCTCTATATCTGAAAATATCCCACAGTAAACCAGAGCCCAAAGGTTTGTGACTGTTCAGATTATGTACAGGGTTACAAGATGCCACTAAGAAGCGTCCATCTTGCCAGCACTGAACACTCTCCTGAAAAACTTGGCCACACGTGATAACAACTCCCTCACAGTGGAGTGGGGCTCCTTGTCATCACCCAGAGGGACTTCCACAAAGTGACTGTCGTCCAGGTAGATGATGTCGGGGATGGGGACGGACACTGACAGGGAGACAGGGTCAGGAGAGGAGACAGGTGTGTGGGGGGTGGGCAGATCTGAGAGGGGTAAGGGTCGGGTCTGGACACTAGGATGCTGATAGGAAGGGGAAGATAAGTAGACAGTGATAGAGTAGGAGAAAAGGCATGAGGGTTGTGAAATAGTTTGACATGTTAGAAAGATGACTGAAATAGGGTAAGGAATTATGGGGATACTGGATGAAGTCCGTGAAGACATTCCCGATTCGTCTGAATAAAGCAGAGTTTTTAGAGGACATTTACATGAGCATGACAGTTATAATCTACGAATGTGCAAGGAAGATATGCTCCAGCTGCCATTGCCACCTACTTTGCGTGGAGCAGGAGGGGCCCAGATGGCGAAATTCAGAGGAAACCGAACCACAAGATCCAAATCTATCAAGACATGAAAAATTATTAAATATTTTGGTTGAAACGATTTGCAAATTGTAGAAGACATTCCTTCAAAGAAATGTGTAGCCTGACAAAAAACAAACAAACAAAAAAACGGTCACATTCGTGGCAGGCCGTAGAAGGCTTGTGAGCGGCCCTTTATGTGACTTTAAAATATGTAATGTCTGCATAGAAATGCCATGAATATTACAATGTTCAGTAGTCAATTACAATATGGAAACAGAATAGCTGTCACAGATTGGTACATTTGCTGCAGGTTTCAAAATGAATTAAATATTTAATGAAATAAGACTGAATTAGAAAGATTGAGTTACTCGGAAATACAGAAAGAACAAACCTTGAACGTAACTATTCATGGTGCACAAGACGTAAGAATCGTTGACTATCAAGCAGATGAGCGCAAATATACGAGATGAGCAGACGAAACAACAACAATGGCTGCGATTTACATCCGAAGTTAGGTTCGTCGTCAAGACGACGTCACAAGTCACACGAGAGCGTCAAAGTATCGCGTGATGTCAACAAGTGTTTCGCGTAAGGAAATTGAATCACTATTTGCGCCCATTCAGAAACCCAGTCTTGCTGACAAGGCAGTTCAGATTGTGCGTATTCCTTTCTCTAAATAGGCACATCGATGCTGACATGTTACATGCCAGCAGTAATGACGTACTTCTTTTGATAAGTGACAGGACTTAATGCCTGTTATTAGTGAGGTGAAAGAGTAGTTGACTTCGACATTAAGGGAAATGATGCCTCACAAATGCGAGAAGGTATATGTTTGTTGTTTGACGCCGCACTCAGCAATATTCCAGCTATATGACGGTGGTCTGTAAATAATCGAGTCTGGCACAGACAATCCAGTGATTAACATCATGAGCATCGATGACATGCATCAACCAAGTCATTGAGCCTGACCATCCGATACTGTTAGCAAGAAAAAAAATTTCCTTAGTCTCCCGTTTGTGAAAGTCAATCTGTCACTTTGGCGAGATGCGCGATATCGCACGTACAGTACACTAAGCATGTTGCAAAATTGGATATTCAGGTCATAATAGACACCATATTTCTAACAAGTAGCATGATAACATTTTTTATCATATAATGGGCAGGTTTCTCGGCAGGATAAAGCCAACGGATAAAAACGATATCCGTTGGGGTCATATGCGGATAGAGATGCAAATATCAAAGGTCAAGTAGGACTACTTTCACTGTTTATAAACAAACATGGCGTCGTCCTCGTCATTCGGCGATCGAGTCAAAATTAACCATCGGGAATCTGGATAAACAACAGGGATAATTGCTACCATTATCAAAAGAACAGTCTAATATACTGAAAATCAGTGTCTAACTGTGACGTAGCTAAGGCATTTTATAAGTTTTGGCTACTTTGGAGGTATAAATTTCGAAACAATTTTGCGAGGGCGCGAGGCCTAGCCAAGCGGGATCAGTAGCAATATCTGTGCTTGTAGACCTCTGCGACTTGAAACCTTCTCCACAAATTAAAATAGTTGGATTTGGCCGAAATATGTTTGAATTGTTACCTTGTTTGGTTTTGTCGCTGTGTGTACATCTGACTACACTTCTTAACCTTATGACAGGACAGACCGACTGTCAACAACGTCTGACAGTGCCCGTGACGTCTCATAGACTAGGGTTAGAGTAGCTTCCCTTTGACAAAGGGCAGTTACTCTAGCGGACAGACCGATGGATTGCCGCGAAAGGCAGTTAAAAACAACTGTTGTTTTTCGTATATGTTGCTTCGCCACTGTATAAGAAACGGATTTCAGTAGGAACTATATTGGCTACTGTCACTGTCCGACTGACACATCACTTACCCTGTGACGTAATAAATATCAAAGCGCGCATTCCAGGAAAACTCGCAATGTTTCGGTAATGTTTGTGAGAGAGGGATAGCGATTTTAAAGCACAGAATTAAAGCATGACATTATATGATAAAGAGGTTATCACGCGAGTGTGTTTGGGTATGGTAAATATCCTGCATAAGGAATAAACATTGTATTTAGCGAGCCTTGGATAGGATGCAGGATATTTACCATACCCAAACACACTCGCGTGATAACCTCTATATAACTTTTCAAAATAGAAACCTTACTTCTTTGTAATTTTGCGGCATAACAAATAATCTATTATGATAATATATGTCGAAATAACAGCGACCAGCCCCAAAGTATGATCAACAAGACAGCCATCGCAGATATATTTGAAACCGCCTCGGAATCCTGTGCCCTATTTTAGAGACGCCAGTTTTTATTGTCACATTGTTTAACAGCTACTACCTGTATAAAACGTATTTACTTGTTTGAAACAAATATATACCAGAGCAAATGGTTATTTAGCACACAAAATATAAATTAACAAAGTCTTACTTTAAGATCTTATATATTTAAATCTTTTGTTTTCTTGTGCACGTTTTACAAATATTGACAGTATCATGACTTATGAATAATGACTTATTCGCAATGTGTATCTGACAATTACATGTAACATTCGCTTACTTTAAAAACCTGTAACAATTGTAAAGCATTTGCAATTCACTTTCTAAAAGTCCACGGGAGCAGTATTGCGATGCATTAAGGTTACCATATTAAATATTAGGTCACAGCATATTGTTGTTGTTTTGTAATTCGTGAAACTTAATCTAAGGAAAGACATTTTGATATTAAATGTGAGTATTATATGTGAGTGACAGTGGACATGCTTTATTAGTTTTATAGTATATAAGACGATCTGCAGTAATTTTCTCAGTTTCAGTCCTCCTAGATGGAGATTAGAAGCATACAATGTAATAAAGATACCCCTAAATCGTCTTAAACTATATATCTAGATAATCACGGGATCGAGGTGCCACTGTTTTTGCTCTGACTACTGTGCAAAATTCACATGTTAACAATCATCTAATGTACCTCAGACCGAAACATCTGAATCTAAACAGGGGCGGATACAGCTTTTTAAAAATCGTGGTTAGTTCATTTTCACTCAACTACTACAGAATACATTTCTCAAAAATGCGCCTGTGACGTTTCCCAATGTACAACTGAACTATCTCTTAAGAATGAGTTACCTTTTTTGGTTTCAGATGCATTAAGGTCAGTCCTGACAAACGCTCCTGACCCTTGCTGCTCCTCAAATGGGTTTTTGTGCGTCTTAAACTTGAAAATGTTCTTTCAGCCCCTGTACTTGTGACTTGTAGAGTCGCTGCTATTGTATGTAACCTTCTGAGTGAGTGAGTGAGTGAGTATGGTTTTACGCCGCTTTTAGCAATATTCCAGCAATATCACGGCGGGGGACACCAGAAATGGGCTTCACACATTGTACCCATGTCGGGAATCGAACCCGGGTCTTCGGCGAACCCGGGTCTTGTGACTGTACAGCAAATGAGATACCTTTCAACCCACCTAGGTTTACAGAATCCCAGCAGGCGAGTTCTACTCGTTTCATTGCAACTGTTTTGAAGAATCTTTACACAAAAAACTCTAAAGACTTCACTGACATTGTTCATAATATGTCTGACAGGGGGCATCTTAAGCTTGCATTAAGCTACAATACTCAAATTAAGAACATGACTGTTGCAATGGGTAAAGAGGGTAGTGGGCGTTACTGCCATAATTCTTGCTTGCACATTAACTTTGGATGAAGACATGCAATCATAACTTAAGCTAGTGTAGTTTGCATTTCTTTTACCATACCCTAAATGGTACTTCAGCTTGCCATCTGTACTAGCTATTTGATTTAAAACGGCTAGGAAATTTCCTTTATTTGCTTCAGATGATGAACTGTCATCTCCGTGGCCTCTCAGAGGCAATCCTTGTCTGCCACAGCACAAAACTGAATACACACTACCCTTCAAAATGTGACTGTTCAGATCATACATTTCTTGGTTTTGACGGGACAGCTGGTAAGACAAGGAATTTTCAAACTTACATCGAATTTCAAGAAAGTTCAAGACTTGCTAGCATGGCTGTCTGGTGTTCTGGTGACTCTCAGGTGCCCCTTCTTTACCAGTTGCTTTGGACAAGATTGTAAATGGAGTACTTACAAATGTACCAGAAGATTTGTGGGCATCACTCAAATTTGGAAACAGGACACAGGAAAACAAAGTCCCCCATTCAAACAAGGAATATACACGAGCCATTTGTACTGCGTTGAAATAACTAGTGTTGACACTCGTTTCTGTTGTCTAGCTTTTGTTTGGGGAACAAAGCCCTGAAAGTTTGAGCTTGGACAGAAGTGCTCTTTCAAGTATTTGTGACAAGAACTCTTTGTACCTGAATCATTGTTCTCTTCCATTACACAAGACACAAAATGATAAGGTCTCCAACCCTTAGATAAGGTGTCTGTCATGTGTGTCTACAAAATATATATTTTTGATTGTTTAAATCCTCACAAAGAGGTGAAATAATTTTTCTGTCAAGAGCAACATTACAATAACATTACAAAGACATCATCTGTCGCTCAAATGCATTGCTTGCGCTCCCCTGCATGAGACATGAGGTCAGGCTTCTGGACGACCTCAGCTGACACCACAACTGCCTTTCTTCGCGGTAACTTGGGTATCATCGGACAGCACCCGCAACTCATTCTTACACTTCACCATGAATGCGGAAGGTTATACTTTCCCTACTACTCGGAACATTCTGACCAGCAAAATACACCCCTATATCTACTGACCACATTCTTCATATGGAAAGACCAGCATAACACAGCTTTCTCAGAATGGAGCCCACGTGACCACAGACAGTTGTAGCCTGTGTCCAGGCACCTTGGTCGTCTAGGTATAATCTACTTGGGTAAACGGACATGTTTACTTTAAATTGAAATCACCGTGACTGTCGCGTGTCGATTTTGGAGCAGAGTGCCGGAAACGTTCTCTGGGGTCAATTATATAGCTGAACAACGTGTAGTTATCCTTTTGCTGGCTTACATTTTTATGGTACCAAGATGGCAATAGTGATCCAAGAACATACTAATGATTTCGTTTGTGCTTTCATCATAAACTAATAACGCTGAAAGGGTTGTTGAATTATGAACGCTACGATATTAAGTGTTTAATCACTCCAAATATCACTTTGCAGTAAAATGATGGAGGTATATGTTTGGCAAGGAGAAAATACTATTTGCACAGTGCACAGTCGTATTTGGGAAAAGCTGCGTTATTACTTCATTTATGTTGTCACAACGTGTGGGAAATTTGTGAATATGGTCTACATTGTATGGCTGTCACGATCACAGATAATTTTGATTATATCAATTATATGTCAGTACTTTCGAAAGAGTGCATGCTCTGTAATAGGCATGCTTTCGACTATGAAAGCCACATTATTTTACATTGTGAAGCGCTGATATCAGAAAGAAATGCGTTTTTCTCTTCCCTCATTGACGTACTTGGCGTTCAAAAATATGTTGATTTTGAAATGCAAGACGAAACAGATATGTTATCAGTCTTATTTGGGGCTGAAACAAAATTTACTCACAATCTGGATCAACACACCTGGGAAACTATTATACTTCAATTCGCCTCGTATCTGTACAAACTAAGGCATCTTTTGATATATATCTTCTAGTGAAAATCTGTCATCATTTAGGTATCTAAATTTGATAAACTGTGTGTAATGTGTAAATATGTTATGCCTTTTTATTGTGTTAACTGCGTGTAATTGAATATATTTTCATTGTA